GTGCACTTGGATTCTAAAGTCACCATTGTCATGGAAACCAAGGTTTTCTGCAGTTACCTTTATGAGTAACTATCTTTCTCATCTCTATGTATATATGCTTCTTAGAGCTCTGTTCCTAAGATCAAACCAATATTTTTAATCAGAACCAATATGTTCTACCTATTTTCCTTATCACATTCTATACTTGTCTATAAACTGAAAAGGAAAACCAAATGTGAAGGCAAAAAAGGTTATCTTTTACAATTTGTAAGTCTTAAATTTGAAGACCCTTTCTCCATCAGTGCTTGAAGTAATGATACATGAGGATTCAGTGCATTGCATTCCACATTCTCTTTGTCTTAACCTAAACAATGAAACCCACTTATAAGTTGTCAACATAAGTTGATTTTCTACAAGAGTTTATTTTAATTTAAAAGTGAATTTTTATTACCCATTAAGTGATTGTGTTAACCACATAGTATGGCACACCCAGAAACAGTTCTCATGAAGGTGTTTCTGAAATACTCTGATGACCTGAGTAGATGACGACATTGCATGGTCTCCTAGATCCGTGTCCTTGTGTAAGGAAGGACATCCAGTCTCCTGTGGGTGTTGAGCAAGACACTGCTTACGGAAACATAAAGGAAATTTACAAGCCTTGGAGAAAAGACCTCATAGTAGACTCACTCTCATAATGATCTGACATATTTTTAGTTCAATCTCAAGCCTCTGTCTCAATAATCACAGCTCTGCGATAGCTATTTACAGCCCACACACTGCCAGACACTACAGTTTCTGATTATAGCTTTGCATTTGCTTCTTTTGAATTTAAATAATTTGTGGACCTTTTCCAGGTGTCTGACTGAGTGACATTGTACTTCATGATTGATGAGGAAAAGAATATGACAAAATTATGGTACTTGCCATGAATGCTATATTAAATCAGCGATTAGAGATGTAAGCTTGCTCCAGTCAATAAAATAATTCATTTTCCTTAATTGAGCGAAGTCTAAAAACTTGCCTTGTCTGTTCTCATCTATATCATTCAGATATTTACTTTATTGTCACTTCCCCTCTGCCTAGCACCATGTGCTGGTAACTATTTTTTAATAAATGAATGTATTGAAGAAATGTCTATAATATATAAAAGTATATTTTGTATGCAGTTGTAATCTATCTAGATTTTCTTCTTTTCTGATTCTCACTGGAAGTGTTAGTTTTTTCTGGGAGATGCTGGTACTTGGACCTACAATGCTTGTGAACCTGTGTATGATTGTAATGTTACCAGACCTTCTGACTGTGAAGCTGTCCCTTCCACAGCATTACGGGGACAGCAGGGTTGTCCTAAGCAGGTTTTGTTTAGTTTTATGTTGCCTCAGTTTTTTTCTTAGCTAAACAGCCCGTGAAGTCACTCAAGTTAAAGCCTCTGAAACAAGAACTTTTTACTTGATTTATGCTAAAATGGAATCGTATTTATGTCTTCACTTACTACATCCTTTGTATGGTTACTGCTGTCTTAAAATACTTCCCTGTGATATTTTTAGAGTTTTAGACCATTTAAAGTTTTATTTGTCTATCCTTTTTATTTACGCACATTCATAATGTATTTAATTAAATGCCATTTTCTGGACAACAATTAAAATATATACAACAATAAAGCACTGAAAATACTGAGGATTTTATATGATAAAAAGCCAAGAATCTGCTGAAACTCTCTTATTTAGCATTTCTCTGGAAGTACTGGCCAATACAATAAGAGATGAAAAGTAATAAAACAGGTATTGAAAGGTAAGGAGATAAAATGTCATTATTTGTAAGGGGTTAGGCTTGCTTACTTTGGTTTTCCAGTCAGGAAAAAAACCCCAAACAAACAAAAGAGAAAAATAAATTCAATATTGAGCAGCACTTTTCAAGATATGGTTCCCAAGGTCCTCAAAGAGGTTTGAGAGGTCAAAGCTATTTTCTTAATAATGTGTAGGTATTTTTGTCTTTTCTACTCTGTTTCATGATTGTACAGTGGAGTTTACCAGGAACTATGTGATGTGCTTTCCTAACAAACTGAATGCAGAAACATATATTAAAATACAGCTCTCTTTTAGTAAGCCAGACAATACTTTTACATGAATAAATAAAAACATTTTAAAAATTAAAATTACAAACATATAGTAAATATTATTGATTCAAATAAATAAAAGCCCTTTGATTTCGTCAGTAAATTTTGAGATGGTTTTCAGATAAAAATTTCAGAAGGACCGATGCAAAAGGTAAGCAATATATATATATATGTATGTGTTTGTGTATTTAACAGCAATAAACACATAATTATAAGTGGAAAAAGTAAACAGTAAGCTAAGAATAAACATATGGAATATATAATATCACTCTATATTGTGAGGTACTCAGTAAATTGACATTCTTACTGAATTTCTTAGTGGTAAGTTTGACTAATATAAAATTTTCCTTTCTTTTAATTAATTTCTAGATTCATATATTTTCAGTATATCAGCATTTGAAATATTTAGCATATTTCAGTGGAAATGTGATAAACCAATGGAAATTTCTGCAAATTTTAACTGAGTGATTATAAAGTTTATTCAAGAATAAGTGAGCGGGAAGTGCCGAGAACAGGCTTTTAAAGAATAGTGAACATCTGTCTTATCTTTCATTAAAGTTTACAATAGGAAGTCAGATAAACAGAGCTATCTCAAAATTGTCCATATTGTATTCTGTGCACATAAATGTATACATATATGTATCTATGTGCATTTATCATAGGATAAAGGAAGCACTAGTGTCCAATATTACAATAAAAGATACATGCATGAAACCATTTCTAATCAGTTTGGTAATGATAAAATGTGATTGATATTAGGGGTATTGCTAAGCATTCATAAATTGTTAGGAGACAGTTGTAAATGGAAAACCTTGGATAGCTATTTGCTATCATACATCAATTAGGTGCTTTAAAATACTCTTATTTTTTTATTTTTAATTGTTTATTGGTACAATTTAGATACACATGATGATCACATTCATCATATGGAATTAGTACCTGTACATGATGTATCTTTTTATTTTTTTTCCCATTCCCCTGCCCTCCCTTCAACCCTTCTTCCCCTTCTTGTTTACAAAAGTTTTGTTTCTATTTTATCTTTCTTTTCTCATTTTTTTCCCTTTCTTACCCATAAATACTCCTATTCTTTAATGTAGCAAATTTATTACTAACAATCTCTTCTGAGGAAATGCTCAGAAATGAGAAAGTATTTATACATAAATTATCTACAGCAGCATGTTTTATAGTAAGACAAGTTTTACAACCACATATATTTCTATATCTTGGTCCATTATCAAGCAAATATCGTAATGACAAAGAAAAACTGCATATGGAATTTTTTTTTGTTTTTTTGAGACAAGGTCTTGCTATGTAGTTCAGACTGGCCTTGAACTCACTATGTAGCCTAGGCTGGCCTCGAACTCATGGCAGTCTTCTTGCCTCAGCCTCCCAAGTGCTAGGATTACAGGCTTGGGTCACCATACCCAGCTTGAAATATTATTAAGCAAGAAGAGGATACTACATTTCATATAACGGAACAATACAACAGTAGAAAATAAAATATTCATAAATCCAACTATGTAAAATATATCAAACTACTAGAATTCTACATCTTAATACGTTGGTAGTGGTTATCTCTGGAATTATGGATAATTTTATTGGACTTTTTTTTTGTGCTGGGGATTGAACTTGGGACCTTGCACTTTCAAGGCAGGCGGCCGAACCACTGAGCTAAATCCCCAGCCCATTTTATTGTATTTTTAATGCCTCTTGGTTTTTTCAGAAGTTTTAAATAAGGAACATATATCACTATAAATAAAAGGAATACAATTCAATGGACTTGACACACAACTACTGAAGTTGTAATTTATATATTAAGACAAGTCAGATAGCTATGGTGAGGATCAGCTTTGAAATGGGATTTGAAATTCCATTTCAGCTCTTGGTTACCTGCTCTTTTTCATCTGGTGGTCATTTCTTTGGGTGGTATCTCCATCTTCAGAGTTCACTTATTTATTTGTCTACTTGCTAGTAAACGATGTGGCTTTTCTGGATCTTTAATTTCCTTACCTATCAAATGATACCCTTTCCATTTTTGAAACCTGGAAATTCAGTGATAAAGATCTCTAAAACTTGCATTTCCAACACAAACATCTTTCGTCTGTGTCTTTCTCTTCTACTCTCTGTTTCCTTCTAAAATATTCTCTTCCCATTTGTGCTTCTGCATCTTCTCCTTTACCCGCCCAAGATCTGCAGATTGGAGAAGGGATTATAATGTCATTTTCCTGTCCATCCCTTATTGCTCCTTAGGTAGCATCCAAATCCTAGTGGTGCCTCTGCGAATGCTTCTCGTTCTTGTAGGATCTGTAGAAATTCAAGGAATCTTAATGTAACTGGACTGACTTACACTTAACAGTGAATTTCTGTACCTTTTTCCTTTCCATTTACCCTGCTTTGTGGGACCTGTTGTTATTTGCTGTCTACAGTTATAGGCCACCCAGGCCTGGATGCCTATGTTTAACATTTGAAATGATTAGCACTTGGGAAATGCATTTTTTTCTGAAGTATCGTATATTGTTTATGAAAACCTTAATTTCCAATCGGATATTTTAATCTGTAACCAGTCTATGGTGCTTACAGGAAAATATTGTCATTTTAGTTGTTAATCCAAAAGTCACTAATCCATTAATGGTAATGTTAATGGATGATGATATGTGTGCACATTGGTGTAATTTTAGAAAACTGATGCAGATCCATTTACTTGCTATCGAATGTAAATATTTTATTACTTAACCACCATTAATTTCTACAATATAAAGTTTTACTCTCTATTATACATTTTAATTAGAAAAGCGAAACCTTAGAATTGCTTCTCTTTGTCTGCTTTGTCATTGCTGGGTGGGATTTATGGTGTTTGATGGCTCTGTGTGATTGTTGTATACTGATAAATCTCTTTTTAAACTTGCAGCAAATAGTGGCAGCAATAAATGCAGGGATTATCCCTTAGGAAACACCTCCAATCAAATCAGTCACTGGGACTTGGGAAGCTCCTTCTTCTTTGCTGGCACTGTTATTACAACCATAGGTAGGAGACAACTTATTTTGTGTTTGATTTTGGTATAGTTTGTGACTTAGCATTCATTTGTTTGAAAAATTTTATGCAATTGGTCAAAATGGTCGACTTAAGGAAGAAAATTAGATTATAATAAATTGATCTTGAAAATAAGGTTTAAAAATTTGGTCAGAGGAGTCATAGAAATGAATTAGTTGTTATTTCAGAATACTGAGTAGCTTTTAAAAATGTATGAAAGTCTGAGCAACACAGTGGTCACGTGACAGATGCCCAGAGGTGCGAGGACTGGATTCAGTGGATGATTTCTTTGACTGGATAGTTTTTAACTTATTTGCATCTTTGCTTCTTTAATGTAGCTCAAGAGGATTTGAATATAATTTTAACATTATTTTCATCAAGTTCTTATTTGAGATCATATTTTCCAATTTGTAAATTTTAACTAACTCTACATTTCAACACTGTGTGTGTTGTTATATGGCCGTGTATTACACTGACTTCAAAGTTTGTTTTTAAATATTATATTTTGCCAATAGCAGAACATCTGAAAAGTTAACGCTGAAATGTGATGATTACTGAAAGCTTGACAGTTCAGGCCTCTGATGTTTCGCGTAATCACTTTGTCTGTTACGGTGAAAGGGTCACGTGATAGACCACGGTCTCACTTTTGAGCTTGGGGATTTGTATGCTCAGAACCTCCGAGCCGCAGATAGAGTTCGTGCATGTCCTCTCTGGCTCGTTCATCCTGTAGTGTCCAGGAGCCATCCAGAGGCTGCAGATACACACCTCATATTCTGTGAGGTATGGGAAGACCTATTGCTTTCCTGCTTATGCAAGGAGGTGCATTTTAAGAAAGAGAAGAAATTCACAGTCACGAGTGAATTTCAGGTGGGAGAACATATAGGTGCAGAGGGGAGTTTTTCTGGTCTACATACGCTGGCAAGGATATTTCCTGGGGTGGGACTGATCTCTGGTTATAGTGTGAATTAAGACTCCGAAAGGTTCAATTTCATTCTTTAATGCTGTCAACAAATTACGAAGAGGATACAATTTTCAAATCTGTTTTATATCAAAGTCCTCAGTGAGAGAAATGGAATATCTGTGGATGAATTCTTGCTTAGAATTTTGATAGGTTTGTGTATTGACCTGTAATTACATGAATGCACTGTAGCATCTCTTTGTATTGCATCACTTGCCAGCAAAATGAATACCTTAGCCTGTTGGATTTTACCTTTGTTAGGAGGTCAGGAAACGGTGTTTACTTGTACATTTCCATCAGCTGGGTCAAATGTGTGGCTGTGAAAATCTGGAAGAAAGGCAACCTTGATTTCTAACCATAATAACAGGTTCAGTTTGAGGCTTAGACATGTTGGCCATTTCTACCCTGGAAATAACCATTTATTGTGTAAACTACTTAGGGTTTGCAAAGAGGAAAAAAACCTCACAGACTGAGTGAGCATGGTTTGCTGCTTCCCAATGGAAGCTCTGAAGGCCAAGTTATAACTCAATGTGACCTCCTCTAAATTATTTTGCAAGAGACTCAGTCATTATACAGACTTCCTGTTGCATCTTATGTTTATAAACAGTCTCATTTTAGGAATCCTCCAATTCAGTAAGTTTTATAGACATATACTTCAATGCATGAAAAATAAATGATTATTACCAGCTTCACCCCAAATTATAGCCATTAAGTACCGTAGCTGATTATTTAGGATATTTAGGTAGCTGGCTACATCTCCTACTGTTCCATCTCAGTATTTAGGCTTAGGTGGCTTATGTTATTCTGAGTCTCACACGGGAACCTTTTACTTCATGGTCTTTTTACTGTTAGGTCAAGGTTATCTCATTTGACCTTGGACTAGATTATGAATGAAGACAGGGTGAGAGTTTTGGCCTCTTTCCTCGTGTGCATTTGACATCCAAATTATGATTCCATATAATTTAAGGTATAATTATTAATACTGATGATGATAATAATGTTGTGTATACAGTATTAGCAGTCATAGAAATTGTAACCTGTAGTAGTTGCTACATTGCATTCATCATTTAAAAAGTAAAACTTGAGAGACTTTTGGAAAATATATTGTAGTGGCTTTTGTAGGGTCCCTAGAGTAGAGTGTGGTTCCCGGAGCTACACTGGACCCAGTCGTCCAAAGTTTTCTATTCCATCTTATCAGTTTATCTAAGAATCATGCAATCATGACTCTTACTATTCATTGGAAATATTCCCAAGGAAATTTAGTTGTACAAGTTAGCATATTAAAATTCAAGACATAATTTCAGAAAATCTCTTCATAGACCTACACATTCTGCTTACAGTTGTGTCCTTCCAAATTTTTTCACAACTTCTGTTCCATGGTCCCATTGACTGCAGTTTGCCTTTGATCTCCTTTTCCTCACATCCTGCTTGTCATCCATTCACTAGTCCCACTGACTGTGCTTTTGAAGCAGATCCACTGTGTCATTGCTGGGCACCTTCACCATTTCAGGCTGAGCTACATCATCTTGTGTCAGTATCATTGCAGAAACCTGCTCAAAACTCTTCTGTAGTTTCCAACTCACTCAGAGCAAAAGCCATTGTCCCTGGACTGTCTCCCTAGTAAGATGCAAGTTCTACAAGGTTAGGTTATGGTTATCTATTTGAGCTTTTTGTGTATCCTCTATGCCTGACCCATAGCAAATACTCAGTAACTATGTTTCAAATTAAAAAGAAATAGGCATTCTAAGGAACATGAGCTGTGGCGTATTGAGCATTACTTAACACTAAATCGATACCTATGATACTAAATTCTTTACGCATTAAACAAGTTTCTTTAACAGCTTATTTGTTAATGAATTTATTTAATACATAATAAAGAACTGTTGCTCTGCTGCTATAAAGATAAAAGATAAATCCCTTGATCTTCGCTGGTGCACAGATGGGTAGGAGATACCAGGGTGCAGACATTCACAGTATGGTGTACCAGGAGCTGGGAGCTAAGCACAGTTAGTGGGCCTGTGGGGTGGCAGTTTACATGGGTGACATCCTATGAGGAAGGGGCAAGGGGCGCTCCTTTCCTAGTAAGTGCTGTCTTGAGATTGGAAAGAGATTAGAGAGCTGCCAAGTGAACCAGGGTGGAAAGGGAGTATTTCAGGCCTCTAGAGCTCATGTGGAGAAGATCAGGGGAAAGCCACAATATTGTTGGTTGTCTGGAATTGTATTTGATGAGCTCCATCCTCAGGATGATGTCAGTGTCCGTGTAAATAACTCCTCTTAGATCTTTGCTACTTTTGGCACCTTTTGGAGAAGAAGGAAGAAAAAACATAATCCTCACTTGCAGTCTCATTTGGGGGATAAAGTCTATGTGTGTGACTGGACATGGTGGTGCACACTTACATCACAGCCGCTGGACCTGAGAGGCCAAGACAGCATGAGCACAAGTCAGAGGGCAGTAACTTTGAGGGCTCCTGCCTTACAGTAATAAAAAAGGGTAGGGATATAGCTCAGCCCTCCTGGCTTCGATTCTCAGTGCTGTGCTTGCACACACACACACACACACACAAACACAGTTTACACGTATGAAATAACTGAAGAACAAGAAAGTGTGTCCAGTCAAATGTTACACGGAACAATGCTTTAAGTGATACAAGAACTGGGAAAGAAGGAAAGAACACGAGAGCAGGGACTGGGAGATGAGGCCATAGTGGAGAATTGGATTTGAGCTGTGCTTTTAAGGAAACAGTTTGTGCAAAATGGTGAAGGGAAACAGCCTCCCAGTCTGGGGAATGACTGAGTGAAAATACAAAGTGGGTAATGAGCTTGATTTATTTGGGGGGATAGAAGAGCATTTAAGTAAACCAAAGGAATTGTTTAAAGGAATCGTGGGAAGTGTTATTGATTGATTTAGGTGGGAAAATGTGGTTGAAAGGAATTTGGCTTTTGCAGATTTTGTATCTAATAAAACAGAACATGGTTTTTTAGGGGAAAGTGAAGTGAAAGGTTAGAATATGTGTCTGTCAGGAAGGGGAAATGCAGGAACCAAGAGCTCAGCTGAGAGGGCTCAGTGGTGACCCAGCTGATCCAGGAGGTGAGATGGAAGTTGGTTGGAAGGAAGAGAGTGAGACAAAATGCTGAAAGAATGAGATGCAGGAATCAAGCAGCCTTGGAGAATAATAGAATAAAGAGAGAGGGTCAAAACACTGACAGTGAAATGAATATTTAGGCAGCACATTCGTAACTCATAGAGTGCTAGTCGAGCCTGTGGAAAAACAGCCAGGATGTTACATGTTGTGCCATTTTAGGACGCTCCATATTAGATTTTTGGTTCCTCCATGTTTATTTGGTTGTTTATTCTTTAAAATCAGCAAGACTAGGAATACAAAATGGTTACATTCCTCTTTTGAGCTTGTGCTAGGGTCCAGAAAAGACCGGTGACCAATGGGAACGTGAATAAACAAACCATGAGTGATGGCAGTAAATACCACCAAGGAACTCCTGTGCAGTAACTGAGAGAAACCAGGGCAGGGAGTGGGAGGTGTTCTGAAGAGACTGAGGCAAGAACTCTCTGAGGACGTGACATTTCATCTGAAACCTGAAGGGTGACAAGAAATCAGCTGCAGGAAGAAAAGTGGAAAGACAAGTTCAGTGAGAGGGCACAGCAAGGGGGCAGAACCTGCCAGGGTAGATGGGGCATACTGTTCTGTTCATGCAGGGGCACAGAGGAGGCCTGAGGCAGGCCCTGGAGGCAGGCAGGGGACCGGGAGGAAGGGAGGTGGGCACATGGAGCAGGAGCGGGAGCCCGTGGGGCTCAGTAGGTCACACATGGTAACATCCTAAATCCAGTGGGAAGCCACTGAGGTCTAAGCAGGCAACAGCAGGGCTGGGACTCCAGGCTGCCATTCAGAGGCAAAAGCAGAAGCAGAAAGACCAGGGAGGAGTAAAGTGGGACTTCCCGGGTTTGAATCCCCAGTGTGCTGTGTCGAGGCGGACCATTGAGGAGCACTTAGGTCACGAGGCTGTGGCGTCTCTCATGGAT